ATATAAAGCAGAAATGAAATAAATCGAAAATTTCATTTTTAAAAAAATCGGGCGTTACTTTTTGCGGCGACTGTACATGTATTTACCTTTCTAATGCAAAATATGGAAATTTTCATAATGCGATATGAATACCTTTTACGTACTTATAATTGTCAATGAATTCTAACCACATTATATGTCTTACTTGTCCTTCAATTTATTTTTCGGCCAATAAACTGTATTACGATAAAGTTCTAATTAGCGTTTCGATTGTATTACGTTTAAAAGTATACAATTTATGAGCTTTTTATCATTTTATTTCGCTATTCACAAATAAATATACGTACATGTATAAACAATCTGAGCTCTGACAACTGGGAGGTTCTAAAAGAACTCCTATAATAATTTACGCTTTATCTAATGGCGATCTTGGGGAGCATCGTCGCCGGATGATGTTAGTTTTTCGCAACATCTTTAATAATTTATTCTTATTACTCATTGGATATACAGTCATCTTGATAATTAATATTGTGAAAGATAATCCAATTATAAACCATAATTTTTAGAAGTGGAATCTTTATCTATGTCTGGTAGGTAATAATCAAATGTGTGATAAATTCAAGTTTTTTTTTTAATTCGATTTCATTTCCTTTATGGGTATCCTTATATAATTGGATGTTTTTACCATAATATCAATGGTAAATACACTGAAAATTTTTCTTTGTCAAGTTGACATGCAAAGTAAAATATAATGAGGTTTGGTTTGTTCTGTTGTAGGGAAACTAGGTAATGGAAGTTATCTCTCATACTGGACAAATAGAAGTACGCGTTACCTTGCGTACTTAAACAATACCAATAATCTGCAAATGTCGGATCATGACATAATATTTTTGGAAGTTTACATCAATATGACCAATTTTATCAATTCCTATAGAGAGCGTTTAGAACTTTAGGATCATCCCATCAGGTTTGCAGAAAAATGATAATCCGTAGTATCTAAAAGAAAAATTGTTGTGTTCATTTAGAGTACAAGTATCTAAACTCATCACAGATTCATGATAAATCTTTTTTAGAATCTAAGACTATGAAAAATATATGAATTGAAGGTATGTATACATCATATTAGCCGAATTTTATTGTCTACGCACTAACTAAAGCTGCAAGTAAACCTTTTGATAGGCATTTATGGTGAGTTTTCCTTTTCTCTTTTTTTGCGTCATTAAGAAGTCCTTATAATAAGCTTTGTTTTAATTCATCCCTGATAATTAGGATTATTATTATGTATTCTATCTTTCCTGGTTCAAAAGGAAATCGATTTTGAACAGTCCATGGAATTCCTTTGGGATTCCCCACACTATTACGAATAACATATATTATAACCAGTACTATGCAGGGTCAGACTTTCACATCTACTAGGAAGGGTTCTAGCAATGGGTCGTATCGCTTCTATTCAAATACGCCCTCGAAATTATTTCCTGACTATTCAAACCGAGCAAAGGTTAGATATAACCTTCTGCAAATTTTCTTATATATACATTTGAATTTAAATAATAGAAAGACCAATAAAATATTTCATTTTATGACTAAAAACTGTAAGCCTTTTAATTAGAATTATTTTAGGATATCCTTGAACTATTCAACTCAGAAAATCATCCATTTCGAAAACTTGTTTTTGGGAATAGTTCCTTAGATCGGTCGTGCTATTTGGTGGTGCATGGGGCTTGGCGGTATCTATTTTTGTAATATGATTTGGTATGACTGTGAGAAAATTTTCTTTTCTCTGCGTGGTTCATCTTTTTTTACAAATTTTGGTTTTTAATTCTTAGGTGGTACCCGAAGGCAACCAATTGGATATCTTCAAAGGTGTTGCTTTCGTCTCTCAGGTAGAACAAGGCGCCAATTTGTTTAGACATTCCCGCTTTTCCGCTTGAAAGCAAGAAATTCACGGACCAACTACATCCGTCACTTAATCTATCATCTGATCCTGCAATGAAATATCTCCATAAACGAGGTGACGCGTTAGAAACCTTTCTTCGAAAGTATTTGTGGATGAAACGCATTTAGAGGATCTTACTCAAAACTTGACGGACTTGAGAAATCTACCATGAATTACTTTAAAATTAACGTTAATATCAAGATTTACGTTTATCAGTCACACGATTTGTCACATATAAAATTGAACACATGATGTCGATCAATTTAAAATCGCATTTTCGAATTTTTCGTCTAACGCTAAAGTCTCGGCCAAAGCACTCAAAGAGCCTTTTAAATAAAGTTGTCGCCTGGGTTTCCGCGAAAAAAACGATATATAAATAACGTCGCCCTATATAATACAACACCTTCGAAATCGACGTCCATTTTGTTTGATTATTCTCCAGTTGCCATGAAAAATGTTTCACCAGTTGCGCCTGAACGAGTGCTTTCGACAAAGTTTTATTTCGAGAGGGCGGTATATTATAAACAGGGTAAAGAAAATCAAGGTAAACTGGTTTTTTATGTAAATCACTCCATTTGCTCATTCATTTTATTGGATAATCTAATCATGACTGTTATATTCTGTCATAAACAGAGTTCTGAACCAACAAGTTCTGCGAAGCATCTTTGAAGTATAATAGCTTAATTTGGTGGTTCCTGCATGTACGTTTATTTTGTAAAGCTTACAAGACAAGTACTTTACTAAAGTTCTATGTGAACTAGACATTATTTTAAATGTAATATATAAATATACAGAGTGTCAATAATACAGTTCGGTCACTGAAGTGGCTGAAAGCAATAATCAAATATTCTTGAACGTTTAAATTTAATATCGATTTGGGAGGTTTGAACAGATTAAGTATCATCAGGCTTTATAAAAACGTTTTAAGCTATCTTTAGACATATATGTTAAATTTAAACAGATAAAACCAATTTTAGTTCAGACAATTAAATAGATAACAATGTGTTTTATTAATGAGTTTAGACAAGTCTAAAAATATTCTTATAAACAGTCCATCTATCTAAAATTTATCGTTTTGATCCAAGGTTTGGCGTTTGACTATTTCCGCGTCACGTTTTTAGACAAGTGTGCCATTGTTTTTATCGTTATCGTTATTTTTTCTCAAAGTTATTTTTCACGATGGTCTATAATAATGTTTACAACTGGGCAAGTGTTGCGAGTTTCCTTCTTCTCGAATAAGAGCATAATCAGCAAGACAACTGATAAAATAATAAGAAAAGTTAATTCACTCCATCCGATTGATAAATTCAGAAAAAATAGTCCTAATGAAGGACAAAATACTCACGTCCAACAAAACTCATGTCCACAGGTAGGAAATTTACATGTCATATGATCACAGCCAGTTGTTTTCTGGATTCGTCTTGAGCAACGCGGACAAGGTTTGGTTTTTTCACGAATAAATTTTTGTGACCTTGCTTCGTATTTTCGTAATTTTCCTAGTCGCACAGCTTCTTTTCGTTTATTGCGTGCATCTTCTTGGGCAGTTGCTTCAGTTGCGGTGGCATCACGTGAAGAGGAGGTGGTTGTTTTTCGGCAAAATAGTTTTGATATGTATTTGAATGCTGTTATTATTGCGTGTTTTGATAATAGGATATTTGATACATGTGTGGAGCGCTCAAATGCACATTGTGGGCATCCAAAATCGAGGTTTGTGATTGGGAGTGAGTGGATTATACAAGATTTGTGTGAACATGCCATACATGTCATTACTGGTAATTTGATTATAAAGATTAGAGAAGGGAAAGAAACTGAGAAAAGTTGAAATAATATAAATTACTTACTTCCTTCGTAATGTATTTCATCTGAACCACAAATTTCACCTGAACTACAAATTTGATCTGAACTACAAATATGACCTGAACTACAACTTGTATTTAAACAATAATGGAAATCGGGCATTTGCGAAAGCACTGAATTTACAGATAATTTTTGGTATCTATCGAATATTTGAACATAATTGTTAATACTAAGATTCTATGTGTAAAAAAAAGAATTAATTACCTTTCAAAAATTGCTTCGTTCACAAATCGTTTTACATCCGCTTCACTCAAAATTCCACAACTCTCGCCAAACGGACACCGAATCATAACGTTCCCTCGATCCTCAATGTCAATTCTAATATGCGTCTCGACACACTCACGACATATACTGCTTTCATGAATACACTCTTCAGTGACACGCGTAAATAAATCAAGTTCTTTTTCGTCAGTGCAAATTATACATTCTTTTGTTATCAGTAAAGATGAAATTTGTTCTTGCTCTTGCTCTAGTTGTATTAATCGTAGATGACGATGATGACGGTATTTATTATTATTTCGTCGTCTTATTGATCGTCGTCGTGTTAATGTTCTTTGAGTATCTGTATCCGGAAAACAATATTGAATTGGTGTTTCGAGATTATTTTCTTTTTGTTCTAATTGCTGCTCTTCTTGTTCAATTGGATACCAACCAATTGTATTGAAGTAGTCTTGATTGATTTTATTTTGGAGTTGTGCTTCTTCCCATAAATCAGTTTTGTAATACATGTGATTATAATTATTATTGTAATTATAGATATCGTTATTATTATCGTTATCATACTTATAATTGCCGTTATTATTACATGTATATTGTGCCGGATCGAATTTATATGACAAAAAATCCACGTTATTTATATAATTTTCTACAAAAGCATTATAAGTAAGTCCCATTGTTGAAGATTTTTGATGGTTAATGGAATACGATGATTCTAAACTCTTTAACTTTGTCGTTTCTATTGATTGTAAAGATATTTCGGCGGAGGTATATATAGAATTGTCTTCTTTGTTGGAATTTACTGTGGATGATTGTGAAGGGAGATGATCATTAATGATTTTAACGCTATCGTTATTGTTTTCTAAATTAGAACTGTTTGTCAATTTTTCCTGCTCGGATTCTTTTATGGAAATATTGTTTGTTGTTGTGCTGGAGATTGAAGTAAATGTTGTAACCGAAGAGAAACTCGTTTCTTTTTGGTGTCTTGGCTTATAAAAAGAATCAGAAGAAACTGATGAATAAGAAGAAGCAGCAGAATGCGAGGAGGAAAATGGTCGTGGTCCTAATGGTCTACGATTTCGACGCGGAGGAGACTTTTCTGTCGTGTTCGTAGCATTAGTGCTATTAGTATAATTATTTATAGAACTTTCTGGTCGTTGTTGATATTGTTCCAGACGCATGATAAAGTTGGAGGTGATTATTCAACAATTTTTCATTCTTCAAAATGAATCTTCTCAATTGCTCTTTGTTACTTCGACTTTTTGCGTGCTATAAATGATATTGATAATTTACAATGTAAATTATCAATAACCGTATTTGCGATACGTCATTAAGCGAACAATTGAATTGTCGAATTGAAAAAGGATAAATTTATTTTTTCTACATATATACTGTATAAGAAAGAAGTGTTACCTTTAACGAATAACAAGATCACAAAAATAGAATTATTCATGCACAATAATGATACATTAATAAATTTAACATTTTCAGGAGTACGTTCGGTATACTGTACCAATACGTACTTTAATTATATTAACGTTAATTTTTGTGTTTGATGTACAGTATGAGTACGTATTTGTAACGGCCTATAGAGGACATCATAGTGAGAATGTTGTGGTTTCATACATACGTATAACTCTTTGTTAAAGTTATATTTAGAGGATAGCTTTAAAAAGTCTCGCAACAATAGAATCAATGGTATCATACACAACAATGAACCACAAGAAGCAAATGATCTATACAAATCAGATGATCAATATATCGATATAGCGATAACGATTGAACAAAAGGTTTAGTATACGTAATTGACACAGAGGGTGACTTTGTTTTACAATAAATCGGCGTGTGTACCTGAAAAGGACATAACGGGATTTAATTGATCAATGTTATTTGTATTAACAGGTATGTAACTTGATTAAAGAATACAGTATGATGTGAAGAAAATTGCATTTTTTGTCTTATATATAATGGGGTTGTTAATCGGTCCATTCAGTCCGATTCGGTCCAAGGACCATCCGTCTTTGGAAAGACGAATCGAACCGTGATTCCCAGACCGATGGGAAAAAAGCGATTGATTGTATATACAGTTCCGGTGGAAAGTAATGGCGGTGAGATTGCTATGTAAATTTTACTATAATACTAGAAGCAAAATATATAAATAAAGTGCTAGATTTCTAGTAAGATAATAACAATTTAAAAAAAACCAAAATGTGAAATCTAATAGGCAAGTCAGTTTCTCGATTGCAGGTTTGTAATATTTTCAAAGCTTTTTTCTCAATAACCATTGATCAGAATTTTATAATTTTGGTCTGATTAAATTCGTCTCAATAAGGCGAACATTTTGGTAGTAATTTCATTCTAATCAGAATAATATTTATCGAATTATTGCGATTTTTAAAAACGTTCAAAAATTTTATTCAAAATTGTATTGACACGGAAAGAGATCACATCAAGTGCTGATATTTTAGGGGCATAATGCCCTACTCAAAGTCACTATCAAAATAAATTTTTTTAAATTTTATTATACATGTACATTTGAATGAAATATAATAAAAAAACTGGCTGCCATTACTTTCCGCCGGAACTGTAGAGTTTCAGATTTTGATTACATGCATAGACACAGCTAGTTTATTACATGTACAATATTAATATACATGTACATGTAAATAAGATCGATATAAATTCATTTGGAATTTTGTATAAATTGATTTCATCACATAGAACAGGAAGGTTAATATATAGGACCGTTGGTTCCAACGATCCATATCGGACTAGGATGGATCGAAGGACCAATTAACAATAACCATTTATCGATCATAAACTTAGTAAATGTTTTTTCTTATATTTATTGTTATATTTTCATGCTTCATTGTTTAACAATTCATCACACAAAATAAACTGTGTGAAGTTACAAATTCATTAGGTGCGATGAACTTCGACGAATTCACGGGTAATGTCGCGAAGCTTGTCAGCAGGAGTAATGGCAGCTCCGACTAAAAAAATTAATGGAAGATTGATCAGAAAAATCATGAAGAATACTATTCAAACAAAAATAAATACTCACCGATAATTTCAGCTGGTATGAAGATGAGTTGTGGCCATAGGTCGAGTATTATGTCAGCTTTGACCAAGTTCTTGCATTTGTTCTTGAGAGATGCGTTTTTGTAGCTTAAGGATATTGTCTTCTTCTTCTTCTTTAGAGTGTTTGACGAATCCCTATTTTCAATAAAGTTATTAAATGAACTTTCGACATAACAACGAACTACCGAAATAAAAAGGTTCTATGTAATAATGAGAATTTTACCTCCATAGCGGAACGTAGCCGGCATCACTGACTTTCATTCCGTCCAATTCGTACATGATATTCTTGATATCAAGGTGTTCTTTACGAGTATGATCGATGAAATCCTTGCCATTTCCAAGAACTGTTCGAAAGCAGGGTAAAGAACAATTTCTTCAGTGGTCGAATGAATCAAAACTATTGAATAAAACTCATTTGTAAATAATTGCGCGAGAGTGAAAGTTGAAAGTAAAGCCAAATAAAAAATGAACCTTCACGAATAATAGTATTTGCAATCTTTTGTCTTCCATGCTCATCTTTCTCATTCTTGAATGGTTCACAGAGTTGTTTGATGATAGAGTGATCCTCCTTTACTGGTGTGAAGACGTCTTTAGACATTGTGGTGTTGGTAGTGCTCGTAGTTTGAACGATTAAGTGCCGCAAGTTTGTAAAGATTGTTGTTAGTAATTAAAGTCAAACCTTGATATAACAAACCTCTTGAGCTGGAAATTTTTCGTTGTGTCGAGTCTCCTTATGAAACTTCGCTATATAGAGGTAATTTTAAAACAAAAGGTCTTTTTTTTCTTTCGTTATATCAAGGATTTCGTTATACTCATGTTTCGTTATATCGAGGTTTGACTGTAAATGTGTTCTGAATATTTGTTGGAGAAAAAAGATTCTGAGTTAATTTCTGAGGTGCATGTTGTGTTTCTTATCGATTTACTTGTATTAATCGATTTTTTTTAGAAGCGTGAAGTATTATGCTGCTGCCGTCAAACTGATTCATTAACGATACGTAATTTTTACACATGTCGCATTTCGTTTAAATAGTAGATCTAGCGAGAAATGATACGTATATTATTGTTACACAATATTCATCTACTAGCGTTAGCTAATTATGTGTAATATGTCCAATGGGAGCTTTTCAACCCTATTTAGACAAATCAACGTTAACGTATACGAAATCTAAAAAACTAAAAGTGAAGACCAAAAAATAAATTTCTTAAACTATTTTAGTGATCAAATATAAACTAAAGTGCTCGCCATATATCCCTTAATCTGTAGGTCATTTCCAGACAACTTTGGAAAATTTCTTTATATATAAAAAATATTATTTTTTATATAATATTTAATTTCTTTATTAATAATAAATTTAATAAACAAAAAATTAAATTAAATAAATATAATTATATATATATATATATATAATATCAAAAATACATATTTTAATAAATGAAATTTAAAATTTATGTATAATTCAGGCCAGTTATATATAATTTGAGCAAAATTAGAGCCATATTAGAGCTGTATTAGAGCCATGTTAAAGTTTTTCTAATAATTTTTATTTATATTTTAGACAAATTTATTTAAAATTTTATTATCAAATAATAACTAAAATTTTGTTAATTATAATCAATTAAATAATAGGGAGCTTATACTTAGTAAAATTTAAAAATATAAAAAAAATTCTTTTATAATTCAAAAATTCCAGGCAAAGTTATCTGGAATATAAATTAAGAGATAATACTATTTTTTATTTTATAGTTACATAATTTAATATATTGTAAACAAGTTTTTTTAAAGTTTTTTAACATCATATCTTATTTCTATTATTCTCAAATATTTGATTTTAATTTTATAAATTCAATTAAAAAACTTTTTTAATACTTTAAGCTACCAAATTGTCTTAAAAACTTGTTTGTAATATATCAAAGTATATATATTTAAATTTTATATGTTTTCAATTAAATTTTATACTAAGATAAAATATTATTATTTAAATTAATTGACTTAGTTTTATTTATAGTATACTATTAGAATTTAATTAAATAATTGAAAGTAATTACAATAAAATATTTTATAAAGTAATCTTAGATAAACTTAATTATAATATATATAAAATTATATATTTGCAAATTTTTATATAATTTTGATTTTTTATAGTATAATAAAAAAATAGTATTTTTATTATATATAATAAATATTATATTATTAAATAAAAGTAAATAAAAATTATTTTGAGTTTATATTTATTTATTTTGAATTTTTTTATTTTAATATTCTTTTATTTCTTTTATATTTAAGTGTATTAAGTTAATATTTATCTCTTGATTTTTAATTTTTGAGTTATTAAACATCAATAACATTTTTTTTAATTTGTATTACTTTTTTCTTTTATTATTTTTATTATTTTTTCACTTTTAATTTTATATATTTTATAATTTTTTTGTTATTTTTTTACTTTTAATTTCATATATTTTATAATCTCTTGATTTTTATATTAAGTTTTTTTTGAAGTTTTCTCTTTTTGTTGAATTATTATATTAATAATTATATTAATAATTAGATATTTTATTTTAATAATTATTAAATAACTTGTTGAATTATATTTTACTAATCTTATAAGAACTAAAATATATTTTAAATTTCTTTTAGTATTTTAAATAAATTTTATATTAAGCTGAATCAAATAATTGAAAGATATTTAATAAAGTTTATTTTTAGAATTTTATATTAAAAAATAAAATAAATTATTTTAATTTGTATTATATAAAATAATAATAAGTTAAAATTATATTTAATTTTAAATTATAATAAATTTAAAATTTGATTTAAAAATATTCATATTATATTAAATATATATTTAAAAAGATTTTTAAAATTAATATTTTGTTACTAAATATTAAAAAATTTTATTTTTAAATAGTATAATAATATAAAAAAAATTAAATATTAGTATAATTAATATTATAATATATATAAATTTAAATTCAAATTTTTATATTAAATATTTTTAAGATAATTAAAATTTTATAGAAGTATTTAATGATAATTTAATATTCAATTATAAAAATTAATAAAATATATATTTATATCTAAGTTTTATTTTATTAATAAGCTTAAAATTATAAAATTTATATAATAATTTTTAAAATAATTTATTAAAAATATTAATTTTTTATTACTATTAAGATATAGTGACAATTAGAAATAATACAATAATATTAAAATTTATTAATTAAATATAGTAAAATATAGATTTTTCTCTTAATATAAAAATTTTTAATTTTATTAATAAAAATTTTTTATTTTTACATTAAAATAAAAATATTATCATATATATTAATAATAGCTTTATCAAATTAAATTGAAAAAAAATGTTAAAATATGTAATATTATTTTTATTTTAATATAAAAATAAAAAATATTTATTAGTAAAATTGAAAACTTTTATATAAAAAGAAAAAT